GGAAGAGGATTAGAGTCAAAACGGCAATGAAGCAAATGTAAACAAGCATGTGTTTATAGAGCAAAAATATGTACAGTATCCGATCTGCTCTGCCTTGGATTGTGCTTATATGTAACATGGTGGGAAAGGCAGAAAAGAACAACTCGTCTAATGCCGAGTACCTAAATCACAGGAAAAGCAGATACAAGCGAGCAACAGGCGGGCACCTGAAGCCATCATGCAACCAAAGCAGTCAGCAGTTTTCCCCAAACATTAATTTAATTCAAAACTGGTACAATTAAAAAAAAAAAAAAAAAAAAAAAAAAAAGGTCTTTGAACCAATGCTGATTAAACAGAGTGAAAAACAAGCTAAAGAAAAGCAGTTCTGCAGAGTGCGTTTTCTTATTACAGATGGTACGAATGGACAGACAGACAGATACTCGCACATGGCCCCTGCGACGCCAGACCGCATTTTCTTTAAGAAGTTATGCCATGAAATCGGTATAAAGTTACTGAAGAGCTGTAAAAGCCCCTTTTTCTGTGCTCCACGGGCACCGTGCAGTGTGTAAAACACCAAGCTATCTACCTGCCGCACATATTTTATCCAATCAATTAATTTTTCAAGTCAAAGTGTGATCCAAACCTAAAGAATATTGCCAGGCACCATACCTATGATCAGCTCATTTCCTTATCAAGTTTGTCCAGTTTAATAAATAGATGTTTGGGTTTTTTTTCCCCCCAATGATCAAATTCACAATCTGAGATTGTGAAGTTAAGCGGAGTTTCTTTCTGCCTCCTGCCGCAAACACGTTGACTCAAACATAGGTGACAGTTTTGGTACTCTTTTTTTGACTTGAAAAGTATGAGACAAGTGGTTCACCAAACGCAAATGTAGAAGAAATTCTACTCTCTTTCCCCTCAAAAATACTACTACACCTTCAACCAAAGCCTTACCAAAACCTCACTCATCTGAGGAGAGTAAGCTTAATTTACTTTTCCTAAATATAGCCGTAAGATGTTCCCATAGAGACAGCAACATTCCCAACTGTACTTTTTGCAGCAAATACTTCAGTGAGACATCAAATCTGAAGTATTAGTCTATTTTTGCAAGCTTTCTCATCTCTTTCCTAGGAACAGCTCTTCTCTAACGGATTCATCTCACAAAATGCTGTTAAAGAGTGCTCCCTTGCAAGAAGTTTTGTTTCTCCATTTCGCTTTAGTGAATTTTTCCTATCCCTGGGGATATTTTGGGACAGGCTACAATTCTCATTCCTGCCAAAGAAATCGCTCATCCAAAGTTTGCTCCCCAAAAGATACCTCCCTAATAGAAAAAAAATCAAACCAGGGTGCCTTTTTTTTTTTGTAGCTCCTTTGATGCCTATTTCCAATTACCACTTGTTTGTCCCAACCCATTGCTATTTTGTGGATATTGAGTGCCGTTCTCATAAAACATCCACTCTGCAAGAAAGTACACATTTAAAACAATGGTGTTTCTGGTAACATGTTTTATAGAACCAAAGCCATTGTAATCACGTAATTTCTGGAAAAGACTCTGTCTTAATGGAGTAAGGAACATTCATGACTACTCATGAAAGATCTACCTTCTTTCTTTGGAAGAAAAATAGAAGTTGTGTAACTTCAAAAAGATACTGACTTCAATAGAGATGTAGTTATTTGGACCAGTTACTGGTTTTCCGCATTCCCCCTTCTGCTCCCCCCGAATTTCTCTGTATTATGAAACCCAGATACAAAGGAAGCAAGAGGAACCTCACTCATTTGGAAGAAGGAACTTTCTCTAAATCACTGTATGACCTGTGCTTCGGTTATGAATATGATCCAAAACCTAAAAACACTCTTGAAATCAAGTTACAGCCAGCATACAGCTAGTATCACTTTAGCAGGTTATTTGAATCCAGTGCTTCTGGGAGCAAAATTAAACCATCAGATTTTGATTATGAACTTAATCGTTGCATGTTTAGTTGCAGGGATTTCTCAAGGAGCAGTCAGTAAGATACTCGAGAGTATCTGCTCAGACAGAATCTGACTTAGCGGAACTGTTGCCAAAGTAATTTCTCCTTCAGCTTTAGCTTCCATGGAGTAGGTTTTACCCAACCTTAGATTACCCTTAATAAATTCATTTTTTTAAAATACTTGCAATATTTACGAACATGTAATACAAGTGCATGTTACAGAGAGAAAAATGTTTGCAATCTTATTTGCTGCCTTTTTTCTTCAAGCTATTGCATCCGCCCTCACCGGTTAAGCGAGAAAGAATTTTGATGAATTTAAGTTTTCAGTAAGATCTACACATATTCAGTAACTATATTAAATCTAAAGTAATTACAACATCAACCACTGTGGTTTTTCAGTTCCATGGAGGTGTCATCTGCAGAACAGCAGCACTGCCAGGTATCTCTGACGAAAATTTTAAGCTGCAGTTCGTCTCTCTGTAACAGAGCATCTATTGTTATACTCCTAAGTAAAGAAGTAAGTTAAAAAAACAAAAACCCACACAAAAGCATATTGCAAATTCTCATTAATAATTTGCTAAAATACCTAGCATTGCTCTGGTGACGCATGAGCCCCCTCTCCTTGGCTTTCAAACTCCTCTTCCCTGAGGCGTGTTTAAAAAGGCCAGCAGCATATATGCTGCCATTTTCAAAAGACAAGGGTAATATTCTCATATTAAGTTTAAAACATCTAAATGTCTACCTGAATCCTGATCAACTACAAAAAAACCCCAACTGACTGCAGAGGAAGGAACAGGCAAAACCAATATACATCTGACATTATTTAAAAATGTTTGAGCCTGATACAGAGATTTTTCACTTCCTTACTGCCTGGGTATGTATGTTGTACCAAAACACAAAGCTAAACTAAATATCAAAACCACGTTTAAGAAAACGTTCAACTTACCTCATTTAGCAAGTCCAAAATTTATATAAAAGAAGATAAATGTAGTATTTCACATTAAGAATTAAAAAGCCTGAAATGATAACTATCAACAGTCTGTAAGGTAATTCAGTCAATGCCAGCAACCACTGTAACAGCATGGACTGCAGGTACTACTTAGTATTAAGTGTATTTTCAACTGATCCCAAGAGATAAATTGGAAAATATTCATTCCTAGCTCTTCTGACCTTATACTTTGGACTCAAGATTATTTCACCCATTCAGCATTCCACGAACATTGAAAGCAGCACATTCCCACCTGGAAATATGCTATTCAGAAAGCTAAAACTAGATTAAGACTGAAACAAAAGATACAGGAAACTGCAAGCTTTGTATGATAAAATTACTACAGTTTTGACACAAAAAGCAGAGAAACTTGCCCAAC